TATGTGAATAAAGTCTGTCTCTCAAAATATCTATTGTACTGACCTCATCCTTCTTCCTGTGCTGACATGAGATGATACAATGCCTACTTGATGAGAAGTGAGGTGACTGATGTAAGTACTGTGACATAGTGTTAAGTTACTATGTATCTCTCTGTATGTGCTGGTTGCACAAACACTATGATTCTGCAACAGTCCATCTTTTAACTGGGATTGAATGACTAAAAGACAGATTGTCTAAATAGCATGGATAATTCACATCCCAGGCAAGATGGAGTTGGACAATGTGAGATTTAATCGTGCTACTTAGAATAGCTCACAAATAAAATTCATGAACTGTGTATTACTGGAATCTCCCCTTTCATATTTTTGGACAGTGGTTGATGGTGGATAATTGGAACTTTGGAAAGCAGAACTGCAAATAAGTGGGCGTACTATGTATATATATTCAACACTGTGAGTTCTCTAATAGGGACTGGTTAAGGATTGATATGATTGATATGATCATGGTTTTTCTATACATACAGACTTGAATGTATGATTTTCTCAAAATGAACCCACTGAATATCCTGTCAATTTACCTTCTGAATATCTCAAATTCTTTTCCTCATTTCCATTCATATCCACCTCCCCTGCTTTAGTTGAAGCCGTCCTCATCTCTCTTGGGTACAGTTTTGTAACCAGGCATGAAACACTGATTCATTGCTATGAAGGCTTTTTTTCCCTCTACTTTCCAGTGCTGGAGATTGAACCATGGGTCTCATACCTGCTAGGCAAGCATTCAACCACTAAGCTACTCTTCCACTCCTTTTTATTTTATTTTGAAGCAGTGTCTCATAAGGTGCTCAGGCTAGCCTTGAGCTTTGCCGTCCTCCTGCCTCAGCCTCCTGAGTAGCTGGGGTTACAGGAATGTACCATTGCATCTGGCTAAACTGAAGCCCTTTGTGACACTGGGTCTGCCCTTCTACTTCTTTACAACTTTGATTCTCTTTCAAGACCCATGAAGACAAATATTATGGACATTTTAATACCTAAGAGTAATATGCACCTGGGCTGTGAAATATGAGGTTCAAAAGTGAAAGACTATTTTTCTTGTGTTGTCGGAAGGCAGTTATATCCTACAAGACTATTCAGTGCTGGCCAACATGAATAGAAGAGCCACAGGGTTTAGGGTAAACATCTTTGCTCCCCTTTCATCGTTTAGAGTAATTGTGGATTAAGAAGCCAGAACAGTGCCATCATCCTTCAATCTCCTTCTTCGGTGCCCTGCAAAGAGACCATCCACTAAGGGCCCCACAGTGCTGTCTGTGTACCCCCAAAAGACTTGTCCCCTTATGTTCAGAACTTCCTTAGAAGATAGAAATCTTTTCCCTCTTCCCTTGCCTCAGGTATTTGCCCAACAAAAAGGGTCAGGTAAACAAAACCATGGCACAGTGCCTCATCTCAAAAAAGAATTCTTCTGGAGTATAATTTTATATATTCTGAAAGAAAGGGAAGAGGGGCTGGGAGTGTAGCTCAGTTGTAGAGTGGTTACCTAGAATGCACGAGGTCCTGGGTTTCATTCCATGTGTGTGAGTGTGTGTGTGTGTGTGTGTGTGAGAGAGAGAGAGAGAGAGAGAGAGAGAGAGAGAGTTAGTTGGTGGGGGGAGCATGCACATGCAAGCACGTGGGGGGGAAAAATTCTTTTTAAAAAAATTAGAGCATCATAATTATACATAGTATTTGGGTTAATTTTGACAAAATCATACATTTATGAAATTTGATTTCAATCCCTATTTCAATCTTTCCTTTCCCTCCTCCTATCCTCTCTCCTCTATTGATCTTTCTTTCACTCCTTTATTTATTTTTGATTGGTATTCTGTATATATGTATATATACATATGTGAATTTTTTACATTTATATATGTATATGATGTGCTTTGTTAAATTCATTCCATATTTCTACTCCTTTCCCTTCTGTCCTCCCTCCCTCTCATTCTCCTCTTTATACTCTACTGATCAACCTTATGTCTTTATAATATCCAATCTCCTTCCCTGCCACATTCTTTCCCTTATTTTGCTCTAACTTCCACATACAAAAGAAAACATCCAGCTTTTGCTTTTTTGACTGTGGCTTAATTCACTTTAACAAGATTTCCTCCATTTGCATCCATTCCCCATCAAATGCCATAATTTGAGTCTTCTTTATGGCTTCTTTATACACATATATATGTGTATATATACCACATTTTCTTGGTCCATTCACCTGTTGATGGGTATCTAGGTTGATTCCATGATTTGGCTATTGTGAATTGTGCTGCTATAAACATTGAAGTGGCTCTATCACTATATATGCTGATTTTAGTTCTTTTAAATTGAAGAGTTGGATAGCTGGTCACATGGTGGTTCCATTCCTAATTTCTTGAGGAGTCTCTACACTGCTTTCTATAGTGGTTGAAGAGAGAGACTCTATAGCCAAGAGTTTTCCTAAACCTCTGATCATATATTAATTGTGTGGCCACCAATCTGGCTTTGCTTAACAGTGTTGTATGTTTTAATTAAGGAGGAGGAGAAGGAGGAGGAGGAGGAGGAGGAATTATTATTATTATTTCTCTGTCTACAACAATCTGCATACCATTGGTTAAAACCAGTGTGCATTCTGATTGAGGGCAGAGTTCTTTCTCTGAATAAACTGCTTCCTCTAAAGAAATTGACCTGGTGGCATAGCACTGGCCAGTGAGTCAGAAAACCTAGCCTCTGCCCTGTGCAACACCATTTCCTAACTATGTACCTTTGGGCAAGCCACTTAACCTCTCTGAGGATCTACTTCCTAAACCCAAAATAATTTCTCCTCTGTATCCTTACAAGTGGTTATTTTGAAGAATAAGTGAGATAATAAAATGAGAACTGGCCTTGAGATCTGTAAAACATACAACATTACTAGTGAAGGATGAGCACATAATATATTAACACATAGCATATTTCCATATTGTTGGCAATATGGAAGGAAATGGCTCTTGGTCAAAGCCAATTTTAGAAACCTGCATTTTTGCAAAAGGAAGAGTCAGCTTTCATAACAACAATGTCGCTGGTACAGGGTGGGCACCATCAGAAAACAGTGTGGAGATAGTCCAGCAGGTGTCAGCAGAGAACCAACTTTCCTTACTCCAGTGCTCACTTGGGAGGGAGGCTGTGCTCAGGCCTGGTGCACTGGGACAGAACTGACAAGATTCTGCCGTGCATTCCAAGGCTATCCTAATTCTGGTGTGGTGTGAGTGGGCACATTGGATCCACTGAAATAGGGACAACCTTTGGACTTTATCTACAAAGTCCTTCTCATTGACTCCAGGATCCTTAATCCTCAGAAGATCTCTCCCCATTCTGGTCTTCTGTTCTGAGCTGAGTCCCTCCTCTGCCCTCAGACCTGTGCTCCAGCTTGGAAAACTTGTCTCAATTCTCTTTGCTTTATTTGTTTAGAGAAGTATTGTTTTGGGAGTAACTTTCATCTCTCCCTCTGAAATCTGGGGTTGTTTTGAATATATATTTTTTAAACCTGGAGTTAGTTCGGGCAACAAATCCAACTTCTCCAAAGTATATGGCTAATGCATTGGGAGCAGGAAAGCAGTTTCCAGCAACCAAATAGTAGCCTATGGAATAAAGTATTCAATTTTGTACATGCTATAGATGATCTTTCATATTTTATCTTGTGGGAATATGAAATTATCACAAATACATGTGCACTTACGTTATAATGTGCCATGTCACAATAGATCTATTGTAGGTACTTTAAAGTCTTGAGGAAAAGAGTAGAGGCCTAGAAAAATAGAAAAATCCAAGCAGTGTGTGTGTGTGTGTGTGTGTGTGTGTGGTGTTTATTGCAGGTCCCTAGAATTCTAAATCCTAGTATCTAGAACCCACAAAGAACACAAATCCTGTATCCACCACTAAATGTCAATGAAGGGCCCAGTGGTCTATAAATCTTCAGCTGACAGAATGACAGGCAAAATGTACACAGATTCCTACATGCTACAAATCTCTGAGATTCTTAAATAGCCAAGTAAGCTGTGTTTCCTTTTCCTTTTCTTTTTGACTGGGAATATTTACTTCCATCTCTTTTTTTGAAACAAGTAGGCTCCATATTTTAAGTAATATTTAAATTTAAGGTGGGGTGGTAATCCAAGTGTACAGAGCAACCACCTTGCAAGAAAACATTTTTAGAAAGCAGATGGCAGAGCTGGCCAGTTTAAACCCATCCAGAATTACCTTGCACTCCTGTAATAAACAAAATCCAGCATTCACTTTCATTGATTTTTTTTTTTTTTTTTATGTTCCTGGGGCTAGGACAAAAAAAAATTTGCACTGGTGATTTAAGTATGAAGGCTCTGAAGACCAGGGAGAATCAATGGATGATGAGACCCATGGCTTGCCTAACTTATTGCATAAGCCCCTGATTCAGGTCTCTGCCTTTCATTTCTAAATCCCTGTAAACCATGTTGTTAAATTACAAACGGGACCTTCTTTGACTTTGTCCATTTCAGTACAAAATAGTCTTTGGCTCTGTCTACCCAGGAGGAGAAAAGAGGAAAGCTGCAAGTTTAGAGACAACAGTCAGAAATGATCAGAAATCCTCGCTAAAATGCGACATCTTAAAAAAAAAAATGCGGTCCCATGTGGGTTCAGGCTGCATGGACCAAGTTCAAGTTAAGTGGGTTTAACCGGGCCCTTTTCTTTTCCTTGCAGTTACCAGGCCCCAGGGAGCCTTTGCCTCTCTACCCCTCTCAAATAGATCTGGGCCAGTTCATTTTGCCACAGCCCGGAGCCGCTCGGAAAGCAAAGATTAAAGGGGAAAGTCGCGGCTGTATATTTATATTTTCATTGCTAGAAGGGAATTGATTTCCGCGCATTTATTTTGGTAGTTGTAATACACAAGGGCGGATTTGCGTCACCCGAGCAACTTGCCGGTGGAGATAAAGTTGCACAAATATTGAAAGGGGAAGTGCTAGGAGTCATTATAGAGTTTTTCTCCGGAAGAAATAAGGATTTCTGCAGTATCCTAAAATACTAAGGCTGCTTCTATTTTGAGACCAATCTCGCAGGCACATCCGCTCATTTAGTCCGAGTTTGAGCCCATCAAAAAACAGGAGATGACCTGAACTCAGGCGAGTCCTGGGCTTCCTGCTGCTTTCTTGGTTCGGAGGGGTAGGGAACAGGCAAGAGGAAAGAATCTAAGGGCTCAGACCAGGGCGAGCGGCCTATCCGGGCGAGGCTTGGGATTGGGGAATGGGTGGTGGGGATCGCGCCCAAGCTTCCTTTTCGCCTTTGCCTCTGGGAGCTCGTGGTAGGCCCCGGGTGGCGCTGATGCGGTTGTAGTGAGGCGGAAGGCCTGGGAGAGCAGAGAGGCGCACCGGCGAAGTTGCAAATTTGCTACACTGCCGCGGACCTTGCAGAGAAAGAGGCGCGCGGCGGGACGAGGAGTCGGTCGGGAAACCAGCCCTCCCGTCCTCTCTTTTGCGGCGTTTGCCAGCGCTTCAAGTCTAGAAGCAGGGCTTTTGCGGGTCATGGACCGCGCAGGGAACTTGAGGGCGTGTGTTTTCCCGAGTCTGCATCCGGAGCTCGCCCCGGGAGGGTTTCAAGATTTGGAAAGTGTGAAAAGGGGCGGGGAGTCTTACTTCAAGACGAGGAGGTGAAGGTATGGAGCCGCTTGGGGTAAAACATAAATGGATTTCTTTTAGAAAAGCTCAAAGTTTGGGCTTAGGCCACGGTGTGAAAATTTACAGTCACACTGGAAGAGCAACCGAATTGGAAGTGGCACTAGAAAAGAGAGGAGAGGGCTCAGGGCCACCCCTACATACATTGGCTAGTGACTTTCCCTGGGACCTGTGAAACTGCAGAAAAGCTCTCCTCCTAACCAGAGCACACCAGAACCCTTGGCCAAGGCCTCCAACGGCCTAAGTACTAGTTACTTCTTTACCCCCAGCCAGACAGGACTTTTTGGCTCTCTCGCTTCAGGTGCCACTGCCCTCAACTGACCACACTCCTCCTTTGTGGAAATATCACCTCGGACCTCTCTGTGAAACAGCAGGGCAAGAAAACCCTTTAATAAGAGAGTGAAGAGGGGAGGGGAGAAATATGAAAGAAATATGAAATGAATGTTAGTATGTTAGATAGCAAGTGATTAGTTATTGATTACTTTTCAGGAGAAAGTCTAAAGCTTGAAGTGACAGCCTCTGTGAAAGGGGTAGAAACTACTAGAAATTAATGACCACGCAAATTCTGAATTTGAGATAGGAATGGCAAGTTCACTTGTATTTGGGGCTTCATTTTGTGTTTTAAAGAAAATTAAAATGCCAAAGGACCTTTGTTAAGAGATGTTTATTAGGACAATCGAAAACAAAAGATTTCGTGGTTTCATTATTGTTATTATTTTATTTTCTTCCTGAAAATGTGCAAGAACAGCTCATCTGGGTGGCCTGTGGTTTGTTTGGGAGAGGGGTGGGGAAATCCATTCTGACTATAATTTAAACGAGAACGAATTCTTAAAATAGAGATGTTGATGTTGCAGAAACCCTCCCCCTACTTCTACCACCCTGCGTTCTAAGACCCAAAGCGCGAATCAAAGGCGTTGGCCACCACTGCAGCTCCTCCTGCGACCAGGCCAAAGGGGATCTTGGGAGAAACTGTCACTGAATTGAAAGTAGAATTTAACCCCAAGGAAATCTGCTCTGGAGGGCACTTGCAAAACAACACACCCCACGTGACCCGAGGATGTGGCGGTGAAGGGAGGGTGGCATTTCCTACAAGGTACAGCAGAGGAGGGGACGTGCTTGCTGTACTCCCGGGTTTCGGAGGTCGGCTGTTGTCTCAGGCTCCGGGGAAGCTTTGGCTGTGTCTAAGGGAGTCGTTCGGAGCCATCCATCTTATTTTGTTTGAAAAGTCACTAGTTCAAGTTGTCATTAGTGTGACAGTTCAAAATAAAACTAATTCGCGGCCTCCCCTCCTCCTGGTTTCTCTGAGGACTCCCCGGAGGCAGCGAGGCGGACACTTTGGTGAGTTGGGCCGAGACTCAGAGCCGCAGCATCCAGGCAGAGGCCCAGGAAAGATGGCTGTTGGGATAAAAACTAAGTGAAGGAAAAAATCCGACAAGAATGAGAAAAAAAAAGGGGGGGGGGATCCAAGGGACCGCCAGTTCTCCACCGGGAGACACGCTGTGCACCGGATAAAGTGCAGGAGAACCAGCTCTCCCCCTTCTGGGCCGGCGGTGGAGCGCTCCAGTTATCAACTCTCCTCGCCCGGTGGCGGTCAGAGCTGCAGAAGTTAAAATTAGTTGCCGCTGGAGCCGCCGCCCAGCCTCTACGCAGCTGAGGGACTAGCAGGACCCTGCTCAGCCCACGCGGCCGCAGAAAACACTTTGGCGTGGCCGGGGGCGTGGCTGAGGTAGGGCCACGCCCCCTCTTTCCCAATTCCCTTCCACGCCTGTATCCCATTGGTTACGGGGATAGCCAATGAGCTCTTGGATCGAGGTCCTACCCCGGGTCTGACTCGAAAGCTCCTGCCAAAACTTTGGGAGTTTTTAGAGAGGAGATTTTTTTTGTTGTTCCCCCCCCTCCTCTTAATACTTTTTTTTTTTTTAAACTAACGGATTATTTTTGTTGTTTTAAATTTAGCTCTTAGGCTTAGCTGTTCGGGTTTTTCTTTCGGTCACCGGCCCCTGTCTCCCGGCTTCTCCCGCGTGTACGGAGCCGCGGTCCCCTCCCGCCTAGTAGTGGCTCCAGCTCTCAGTGTTCGCCTCTGTCCCGCGAGGAGCCGGCGCCGCGCCGCCTTTGACATAAGACCAGGGGCCGAGACGGTGACCGGCCAAAATCTGGCCCCCGCCTCCTCCGTCCGAGGCGCTAGGGCTCCCGGCCTCTCTTCTTCAGGGCGGGCGGAGAAGCGAAAGCGGATCGTCCTCCCCGGGGCCGCCGCCCCTCCCCGCGCACCCACCCATTCACCCACTCGCTGGGTCAGGCCCGACCGCGGCCGCCGCGCGGCTCACCCGGCTAGTATGTTCGCGGCCGGGCTGGCTCCGTTTTATGCCTCCAATTTTAGCCTCTGGTCGGCCGCTTACTGCTCCTCGGCCGGCCCGGGTGGCTGCTCCTTCCCCCTGGACCCTGCCGCTGTCAAGAAACCCTCCTTCTGCATCGCAGACATCCTACACGCCGGCGTGGGGGATCCAGGGACGGCTCCAGAGGGACTGGTGGGGGCTTCAGCTGCCGCCCTAACCGCGCACTTGGGCTCGATTCACCCGCACGCCTCCTTTCAAGCTGCCGCCAGATCCCCGCTCCGTCCCACCCCGGTGGTGGCGCCTTCCGAAGTCCCGGCAGGCTTCCCGCAGAGGCTGTCTCCACTTTCAGCTGCCTACCACCACCATCACCCACAGCAGCAGCAGCAGCAACAACCTCAGCAACAACCTCAGCAACAGCCGCAACAGCAACAGCCCGCACCTCCGACCCGGGCCGGCTCCCTGCAGACCTCGGCCTCGGGGACCCGTGTGATCCCGCACCATAGCGGCTCGACACCGGCTCCCTCCAGCAAAGACCTCAAATTTGGAATTGACCGTATTTTGTCTGCAGAATTTGATCCAAAAGTCAAAGAAGGCAACACGCTGAGAGGTAGGTCTTTGGTGGAAGACTTCAGGCCTCGATGATCACTCCCAAGGCCTCAGGCGGGTTTTGGAGGAGGTGTGGTTCAGTGTGTTTATAATTAAGGACAACTCAGTAAAATGGGGGAGAAGAAAACGAATCATAAGGAAATTACAGAATATTAAGTCTAAAATTCACCTACTCTCTGATTTAAAAAAATATGCCTGGGATGCTTCAAAATCACAAGATACAGAATGAATATTCATATAACGGTCAGTGTAAATGTTTGCAAAAATTACTATACTTTGTCTTATGAACCATATTTAGAGAGAGAACTATATTTTTTTTTTCTGTCTAGGAGAGCCTTGTTGGGGAACAGCTTTCCTTTCCATTTATCTGATTTCATCCCCAGCAACACACACACACACACACACACACACTAATTCATTTATCTGATTTCTCGAAATATTCTACCCAAAAAGGTAGATAAATAAAATTGACCCTTGAGGGTAGACAGCTGAGTGGGGATGGAGATTTGGGGTCTGTAAAATTCCTGGAAGTCTCCTGAAAGTGACTTCCTTAAGGCTGTTTTCATGGAAAGCCATATATGTGGGTGTGGACATGAGGGACACACAGTAACATTCCCAGCATTGCTCTTTGGGGACTGTGGTGGGGAGGGAAGGTTTCCTCATGGAGAGAGGGGTCTCTCTGGACTTGCTCCTGTGAATCCAGGGAGTGGGGAAGAACAGGAACAAATCTCTGAAGAGTGTGCATTTGCCTATATAACCAACTATTTTCCTTGTTCCCAGATCTCACATCCCTGCTAACTGGTGGACGACCTGCAGGAGTGCACCTTCCAGGCCTGCAACCCTCCGCTGGCCAGTTCTTCGCATCCCTAGATCCTATTAATGAGGCTTCTGCCATCCTCAGTCCCTTAAGCTCCAACCCAAGAAATTCAGTTCAGCATCAATTCCAAGACACATTTCCAGGTACGGAAAACATTCGAATTATGGCCCAAGCGCAGGACATATGACTGTCAGAAATCTCAGGACTGATTCCTCAAGCGGCAGACACAGTGTTGCAATTCTTTTTGGGGTGGGAGAGGCTACCAAGTCTGGAGAAAGAAATGAGGAAGATTTCTCCTCAAGCTAGAGCTAGCGCTTGCTTCAGACAGCTGAGAGTGGAAGAGAATGGAGGGAAAGGGGATGGGGGGGGCAAAAAAGTGTGTGCAATAGTTGGTCACTGGGTGGGGGTTTTTCCCTAGGTTTTTTTTTTTTTTTTTTTTTGAAGGATAGAGAGATTTGTGAATGAAGCCTCAAAAGACGTTGCTTATTAAAATACACACATTTGGGGGGGTAACTTCAAACACTCCTGCTTTTAAGAGGTTTTGAATGTGGGCACATGAGGGAGTACATACACAAAGTAAAATTTAGGGGTGTCATCACTAGATCTTTGATGTCTCAGGGATGTTTTAATCTACTCTTTGCATGCCCAAATATTAGGACTATTTTTTTCTTGGAGTTGATTGACAAGCTACTTGGCTTTCCCACTCCACCCTTGCTTTAAGCTTTCTGACTATCATTCTAAGAGCTGTGAAATTCCTCCTTAGGAAAGGCCATTCAGTGTGTGTGGAGCCAACTGTTAATACAAAACACTTTTAAGCAGCCCAGTGAGACAGGCCTGCAATTGTCTCTCTTCCCTCTCTTACCTTCTGCTCCGACTCCGGGTAGGTCCCTATGCTGTGCTCACGAAGGACACCATGCCACAGACATACAAGAGGAAGCGTTCTTGGTCGCGTGCAGTCTTTTCCAACCTGCAGAGGAAAGGCCTGGAGAAAAGGTTTGAGATCCAGAAGTACGTGACCAAGCCAGACCGAAAGCAGCTGGCAGCAATGTTGGGCCTCACAGATGCACAGGTACGTCAGCCAGGGATCCAGCACATAGTGCCCTACCGGGTGGGCGGGCAGCAGCCGGGTGTCCTAACTCCTCAGTCCCCCTCAGTCCCCACCGACTCACCTTTTGAAATCAAAACACAGTGTCTTGAATTAAAGGAGGTTTTGTGAACTTTAAAATTGAGGCAGGAGGAGAGGAGGGTGGGGTAGGGGTGAGGGAGAACTAGGAGGAGAATTGTTCATCCCCGAAGATGTCAACAAGCAGTATGTGTTTATTTTGGCCAACAGGCAAAAGAACCACTGAGAAAGCAAATAGACTGCGGGAGATGATAATTATGTACTCAACTGGAGTGCAGTTCGCTATAGGAGGCAGTTTATTTCAGAAGAGATAAAAGCCCAAAGTCAAGAGATTGTTGTTGTTGTTGTTGTTAATTTAATTTTATTTTTCTTCTGCCCTTCCTCCTCCTCTGCTGCTACTGGATTGTGAAATCCCTAGTTATGAGGAAGTGAAAATATCATTTCAAACGGAATTACTTAGCTCCACTAGGGTCCGCTTAGAGCGGCCACAGGTCCAAGTTCTAACGGCTTTGGCTCTGTAGGATGTCTCTGTGGTGGGGGCTGGGGTGTCTAGAAAGAAAGGTTTTCTTAAAATGCCCAAGAGAATTTCAGCAGGTTCTACCTACTTGAATTTTTTTCCCCCAAGACAATAAGAAACCTATTGTACCTGAATTAGTTTTCTTTTTCTTTGATTCAAGAACTGTCCTTTCCTTTCCTTTCCTTTCCTTTCCTTTCCTTTCCTTTCCTTTCCTTTCCTTTCCTTTCCTTTCTTCTCTTCTTCTTTTAGCTTTGACTTCAGAAGAGACACCTCGTTCCACCTATCTCAGCAGTAGCTTCTGTCACCAGCAGGGCAGAAGCCAAAGTTAGCCTTCTTTTTCTTAGATCCCTGATGGTCCCCTGACTTATCTCTGTATCTTTCTGTTCTCCATTACACAACTCGGCTCCCCAGTGTGCGTGGCTTGTGCATGCATTCCCCCCACCCCTTACACACACACTGGAGGAGCCCAGCCATTTTTCCACCAGCTGTGGATGTTATTTTTAAAAGGGAAGCTGGAACTTGTGTGGACGGGTTGGGTCCCCCAGGGAATCATATATTTATATAGATTCTCTGCTCCATCTTTTACCCTCTTCTTCCATTTTGCTCACGTTAATTCCAGCATTTTCTGATCTCCAAGAAAGATTAGTTTATCCCTGTCAGAAGCAGGGTTCTTATCAACTCTGGAGTAAAAATATGCCAAAAAAAAAAAAATCTCTTTTATTCAAAGCCTGGCAATACCCCTACTCGGCTAGGATTAACTCTTTGCACCTCTTTTCTCACTTGCATCCCACTTTTATTCTTTAAAATAATAGCTTTTGCAGTGGCTTGCTTTGGATCATGATAGTACAGGATAGGACCTTGTGGAGAGAAAAATTTTAACATTGTCTCACCAAAAACTTGAGATTCTGTGTATCATCATGGGAACATACCCCTTTTTCTGGGTCAGCAGTCCACAACTTTAATCAGGTTCTTACAGGAGTCCTGACTCAAGTGAGGTCAAGAAACAGGGATTTAGAGTAGAGAGCTTTAGTAGGTTTAGGGCCAGTTGCAGGAATCTGCCTTTTCAACAAACTATCTAGGTCATTTCAAATCTGAGGTCTGGGGGCCACATTTTGAGAATGGACCTAGTGGGTTCAGTGGTCCAGGATCCCTAGGCTCATTTTAGCCCTTAGCTGCCTCTGGGTCCCTTGTGCTTATATGGGATTTTGGTAACTGCACCTAGTAAGGTGACTGGCAGGTGCAAGAGAGTCAGCCTGTTATTCATCTTGACTCCCTGTCCCGCTCAGGTGAAGGTGTGGTTCCAGAACCGGCGAATGAAGTGGCGCCACTCCAAGGAGGCCCAAGCACAGAAGGATAAGGACAAGGAGGCCGGCGAGAAGCCTCCAGGCGGAGCCCCGGTTGCCGAGGGCGAACAGGAGGAGAGGAGCCCCAGTCGCTCAGAGGGCGAGGCCGAGAGCGAGAGCAGCGACTCCGAGTCTCTGGACATGGTCCCCAGCGACACCGAGCGGACTGAGGGGGCTGAGCGATCTCTTCACCAAACAACTGTTATCAAGGCCTCGGCCGCCGGCACCCTCATCGCGGCCAGCAGCGGTGGGAGTGGAGGAGGTAGCGGCGGCAGCAGTTTCAGCTTCGGCAGCGCTAGCAGCCTCAGTAGCACCAGCACCAGCACGGGGAGCGCAAGCAGTCTTGGCAGCGGGGGCAGTAGCACCTCGGAGCTGCTCCCTGCACCCCAACCCACAGTTAGCAGTGCTCCCAAAAGCCCGGAGCCTCCCCAGGTCCCGCTGGGCAGCTTATAGACTTCAGGAGGACTCAGGGGACTCTACGCGCAGCCTCCCACATACGGGCTGGATTTTGTGTTGGCGTTGGGCTGGGGCCAGAGATGCAGCAAAGACTACTCTTCAGTGTTCACTCCATGCCCCTTGGTGCCCAGAGCTCAGAGCCCAGAGGCCATAAGTGTGTCCCCACCAAAGATTCCTATGGAACTCTTCTCTGGACATGTGCAGCCCACACTGTGAAGTGTTTGAACTGTTCCTGCTCTCCAGGGATCGTGGCATAAAGACATGCTGCACTTAAGAAGCCTTAAACTTGTAAATAAAATGTTTACCATGGTTTGTAAAAGGCCCTTGGCTTGCTGGGGTGATCTCCAAGGATCTTTAACCCAAATGTTAGGCCTGAACCAGGATCTTAGGTGGGGGGATGGGGCTTTTGGGGAAAAGAGGTTCAACCTGAGAGACATCTTGTTGCAGAGATCTGTCTCCGGAGTCAGAGGATTCACCTAATTCAGTGGGTAGGTAGCTGGTGCCAACCACCAGCTAACATGGGTTTGGTCACCCTTTGCATGGCCTGAGAGAAGAATAAAGAGCAGGCCCTAGAATCTGTTAGGCCTGTTCAGCAGATGGTCTCCTCATTCAGAGGCTGGTTGCAATGAGTGTGTATCCCTTGCTTTCCCTGTTCCACAGTGTGCAGGAGAAGTGGAGAAGGCTATGCTCCTGGCTATGCTTCTGTCAATTTAAGGCATGGCAGTACTCTTTAGGTGGCCACTCAGGGCCCTGGCAGGAATGTCGACTCTCCCAGTGCAAACTGCTCTTTGCTCAGGGATGGGGTAGAGGACACAGGGCAGGTCTGTAGTGTCTATTGGAGGAAAGGACAGGAATGCCACAGTAGTTAGGGCTGTAAGCCTGTGTCTGTGCTGGGTCCTGGTTTTAAAGATGCTAAAATAATTTACAGACAAAGAAGTGCCTTGTTAAAGGTTATGCAGAGCCCAAATCAGAATTTAGACTTCTTGGCTCACATTTTGTTGGTAATGAATCTATAAAATTGAACCCTATCACGCTTTGTACTATATTGCACAAAATCTTCCTTCTTATTCCTCTGGGGCAGGCACCCAATTGAGTTCTTTCTCTGCCTCATTTCTGCCCCAGCCTCCCTAGAGTTGAGACAGTTTCCCCACTCCACTGCAGCTACAAAATAGTAAACCTAAATCTATTTCACCTTGCTGCTGCTGGTAGGTACCTGTTTTTTTTTGTTTTGCCAAAGAAGGGGGGTCAAACCTTTTCCAAGACCTGTTCTCTTCTACTTTCCTTCCCTGGAAATTTATGAAATGTTTAGAGATGAGCAAAAACAATCCTTTGAAAAAATTTGAAACAAAGAGATGGCCCTAAAAATTTTTTGGCACTGAAAGTTGAGGGAGATAACAAGGTCTCTCACAAATCCAGCATCCTATCACAGGAACTGTATGTACAGTACTTAGCAAGGGGGAGAGGTGCTGAGATCAGAGAGCCTAAAATGTGCTCCAGTCTCCAGGCCAAGTGAGAAGGTTCCCAGAAGCTCCAGGGGTCTTGCTTATCTTCTGCCCCATCTTGACTCATTCCCTGGAGCTCATTCCAGGACCTTTGTACTAGACCTATTGCCCACCCGGGTACAGAGAGCTGTGCCACAGATACAGCCTTCTCTCCCTAGGCTAAGCCAGATGCCTAAACTAATCTCAGAGCAGTAAGCACAGGGATGCAGGGCTGACAATTCTCTGTTCCAATCAACCTCCCAAGCCCCCAAATGGAGCTGAATTCCTAGAGGAAAGAGCCAAGTGTAAAGGGGGTTAGGAACAACCAGGGTTGTCAAGAATAGGGAAGAGTAAATTTACCCGACCTTGGACTAGCTATTCTAATTGTTCCACAAGAGTTTTTGGGCCAGCAGCAGCCTCCCAATCCTCATGGGCTTCAAGCACCCGGGGAGTAGAGGCTCTGGTACCTTAGCTATGGTATTCTCTCTTTACCTCAGTTTTGCCTTCATTATAGAGAAATGAATCTCTGACTCCCCAAATGTTGAAATTTTGGAACCGAACAAATCAAAGACCATTGAATTTTGAGGCATTTAAACCCAGTTTTGACGTTAAGGAGATGTGCATGGGGGCGCATTTGTGTATATTAACTGGGGAGCAGAGCCCGGCTGGGGAGGAGAGACTGGGAGGGGTTAGGGCTTTATTGCAAACTGTACCCACCTCCACTGCTCGAAGTGCTCTTCAAGAGCTCTCTGCCCTCAAAATCCCTGCCGCATTTCTTTTTCATTCAGGGTTTAGAAATTGAAGAAACTAATTACTCGGGGGAGGGTAATGGTGTGATTTCAAGTAGAATTTCGGCCCTACCTCCGCAAGGCTCCACCACACCAAAGGGCGCGGGGAAACTGGGATGGAGAGTAAGCCTGACGGCAGCGGGAGTTGGAAGGTCTGGAAGTTCCTTTAGTGCTTCCAGGAGGCACCCCCCTGCCTCTGTCAACCCTACCCCTGGTCCCTGAATATTTATCTTGTGAAACTCTTGAAGGGCTTTTCCCGGGTAGAGGAGCTTTTCACATTTTCATCAGAAACGGAACATCACAACCTCTGGTGAAGTTTAAAAGTTTATTTGGAGGAAGAGCAGCTGCAGGGCTTAGAATCCTTTCTGGGAAGAAAGGCGGCTTTTGGGGAGGATTGTTCCCCCCCCCCCCCCCGGGGGCTGCTCTTTAGGGCATCGACTATTGGAATCTTTCTGGCAGCGCTCGATCCTGCCTAAGCAAGTAGAACTGAGGGTTCTGGGACACGAAAGAGAAGGCTGAGCCTGGTAAATCTGCAGACGCCAGACTTCTGGGCTAGAGCCCGGAGGAGGCGGGTGCGCATCGGAGAGCCGAGCAGAGCTGAGGCCCGTGTCTTTCACATGCCCCACAGGACTGGAGCTTTTCTCCAAGCAGTAATAACTCCTTTCTCCGAGCAGGGCTCTTGCTCGCGCAGCCCTAGAAGTTCCCGCAGCCCTAGAAGTTCCCGCAGCATCAAGCTCTCTGAGCATTTTCCCTAGGTGCGCGAAGCACATGGAGGCAAAACCAAAAAAACTGAACCGACCAGCGCTGGGAGTGGGGATGGGTGAGAATCCAATACTCAGTCCCCTTTCCCCGCAGCACTTAAACGCAGAAATGCACACAACAGAAACAGACACGAAGATTCATACAGGAACAAGAGACTGGTACTCCGTTGTGGGTGATACCATACACATTTCCGCGTTCTTCTCCATATGGCAAAGCAACGTGATGAGCCTCATGCCTGCGTGGGTGGATGGGATGCTAGTCTCAGTAGAAAAGTTTCCTAGCCCAAGTTCCGCAGACCAAACCATCAAAACCCAGGATGCATAGCCTTACATTTGCTGGCCTCATTGGAGAGAGGGAAGGGACTGAGATGCCAGTAGTTTGTCACTCTCGCTGGACAGTCCCTACCAAGTCCAAAGCACAAGGTCCAGAGAGACATCAAAACCTTTATGGGGGGACTCCTATTGATATATCAGCCAAGGAAAAGATTCCTTGTCCTCCCCACTACTCTACCCTCTTCAAGTTCTGAAATCTTTTGTGTGTGTATTGCTCAGACTCTGATTGTCACAAATCTGTCTGATCCCTTTGAAACTCAGAAAAGACCACAAAGTCCAGGACCTATGAGATTTTTTTTCTCTGACTGCTCTCCCTACCCAGGGTCTGGGTCTGGAGTGGAATGTTGGTGAGGCTTGACTGTGCCCTGCCTAAAGCAGGCTACACAAGACAGAATAAGATTGTCCATCTCTTCCAAGCCTTTTCTTTGGGGTCCCAGAGGTCAAAGTAACCTGAGAGTGAACCCAGCTTCTTCTGCACAGACTCACAGCCACTTTCAGGAGCTTAGGGGTCTTAAGGAGGGTTGGGCAGGAACTAGACCTGCAGCAGTGGATTTTCTGAGGGTGTTTTAGACTTGAAGTTTAATCTGTGGAGCTTTAACCTATTCTGGGATGTAATCATAACTCACCCCATGCTGAAGCCAATTTCAGATTCCAGATTGGTGAGATAGGCTTGGGGCTGTTTTGGAGTTATTAACTGTGGAAAAGAGGGCAGAGGCTGAAGAAGTTTTCTCACTCTCCTTTGGTTTTTGTATGTTGAGTCGCCCCTCCAGTTGTGTGTGTGTGTGTGTGTGTGTGTGTGTGTTTTAAGTAATAGGGGCAGGGTAACTACGAGCTTGGTTCTCCCCATTAAATTTAATGGCATAGCATTGAAGATATCCAAGAAGATGCTTAATGCCATAGGGATACCACATTTCCCTTTATTTAGCCTCTGGGGAGTGGGGACACTGCACACTCTAAGGTCTGTGTGAAGATGCAAGTATTGGGTTTAAAGGAGGATTTTAACTATATATATTGGGGAGAGGAATAAAAACCTCGATATAACACTTCTTATTTCCAGCTTCCACTTACGATGTTGTGATGGGATTGGGCAGCAACTCCAAGACTAATGGAAGTCTTAAAGGTCATCTCCTTACCCATGTAGACATTAAAGCTGTGATGCAGCTGCTCTTGGGGAATCCTGATAATTTACACAAGACAGAAAACACTTTCTAAGATATCTCCAAGATGGTTTCCAACAGAGCAGCAACACTTGCTGGGATCTCTGTCTCACATAGACAGGCTGGTTTGGAGAACTGCTGGCCCTTGGGTCCCTTTGCTGTCCCATATGCTGTGTCATTTTAGAAACCAAGGATGTATGTCTCCAGAGCTGCTCCACAGATTTACTTCAGACTCCCTCATCTTAAGGATGTGACCAAGGTCCCCAGAAGAATGAGTAAGAGGAGTAAGATGAGCCTTGGGGTCAATGCCTATTGAGGTCCACAAGAACGTGAAGGCTCCTCCAGGATTCCAGTCCGGATTTTTAAAGCTTAATTGTTTTTTTTTTTTTTAAATAGCTAGGAGGTTCTGCTGCGCGACTTTGGGCTCCTGTTAGCTCCTCCCCTCCCCCTCTGTGGTCCCTTTGGGAGTCGCTGATCAGGCTTGGTTTTTCTCTAGTTGACACCCCGCCCTCCAACTTGCGCGGTCTCAGGAGCAGGTAAAACTTTGTTAACAGTGATTAGGGCGCCAGTCACACCTTGCTCTGGGACCCTGCGCTATCCCAGGCGCTTTTCAGCTTTTGTTGATGGACGCTGACTCTTGGGATTCTGGGCAGGAAGCAGAGCTCTTGGAGGCCCTTGTAGTGCCTGCAGAGCATGGGGGCGTTGCTTCCTTCTTTCTCTCCTGAGCTTCGGACTTGCCCTGGAGGCTGGGGATACCAAACCTCCCACTCTCCAGCAATCCACTGCACCCTGAAGACAA